TGCTGAAGTTCCTCCTCAGACTCCACCCCGAAAATCTCCAGGTATTTCCCAACCCAGAGCTGGCAACCCTACATAGAGCTCATGGGTACCACATAAGGGATCACTGCATTAGGCTTGTGAACACAGCTGAGCAGGGCTTTTTTTGTAGATGTTAGGCCACACACCCCTAATGTAGCCAATCCTAATGAGTTTCCGCTGTTGGGTGTGGCCTATTATGCTAATGAGTTCCTGCTGGGCGTGGCCAACCCAGGAGCCAGCTGGAACTCCGTTCCTGTGCGTTCCTGCCCAAAAATAGCCCTGCAGCGGAACATTCAGCTTTCCTTGGCACAGCACCAGATTGAGAGGTGGACAACCACAAAGAGGCCTGTGACACTTTAAGGATAAGAATATTTACTGTGGCATAAGCTTTGTCAGACGTGTGGCTGGTTGGTGACTTGGCCGTGGTTTTGGCCAGCGACGTGGCAGCCGGTGGGCAGAGAGCCAGGTTGTGGCTTAGAGAGTCGAGGCAGCAGGGTCTCGGTGCCGGAGAAAATCCGGTGGGTCCTTGGCAGGGGTGGAAAGCGCTGTCAAGCTGAGGCCGATTCAAGGCCACCTGTGGGGTTTTCAAGGCAAGAGATGAACAGAGGTGGTTCGCCGCTGCCTCCTTCTGAGTATCAGCTCTGGATGTCTTCAGTGGTTTCCCCTTGGAGTATAAACCAGGGTTGACCCTGCTTAAAGGTTCCCTTGCTCGAAAGCCAGTCGAATCCGACTCTAGGGTTGCGGTGCTCATCTCCGTTTCAAAGCCGAAGAGCCAGCGCTGTCCGAAGACGTTTCCGTGGTCATGTGGCCGGCATGACTAAACCCCAAGGCGCACGGAACGCTGTTCCCTTCCCACCGAAGTGGTCCCTATTTATCTACTTGCAATTTCTTGCTTTCGAACTGCTAGGTTGGCAGGAGCTGGAACTAGAGACAGGAGCTCACCCTGTCTTGCGGCACCCGGGTCTTGAACCGCTGAACTACTGACCTTCCACAGCCTGCAGTTCAGCGTCTTAACCACTTGAGCCACCGCAGCTCCAGACCCTGCTTAGCTTCTGGTATCTGATGAGATCGGGCTAGCCTGGGCCATCCCAGTCAGGACGGGTGCGGGTCCTCTAGCAGAAGCGTCTCCTGCCCCCTGGTCTCCTTTGCCCATCCGTTGCAAGAAGGTGCCCTCGTACCTTGGCTGCTGGGGGGTATAATCCATGCAGTGGTGGCCACCCAAGTGAGGGCCACAAACCAGGTGGTACTGGAAATCCAGACGCCCGTGATCCAAGTAACAGAGTTTCTCCTGACGCTCTCCAGACTGCAGGCTCTCCTCACAGGTCCCCAACAAGTCGTCATCATACTTGTTGTCCTCATCCCAGACTTGTACCCGGAGCTTGCTGGTCTCTCCCAGCAACTGGACGTTCCCCAAATCAAAATGGATATTCCACACCGGGTCGTTGTTGTTCCATACCGTCGATGTGCGACTCTCCTTCCCCTGGAAGAGCACCTTAACGTAGGCGTCAGTACTGGTGCTGTAGTCCCCCCAGAGACCGTGAGCACGTTTGATAGTCACTGTCAGCTTGGCCAGGCCTCGCTTTTTTGAGCAACACATGGAGTTGGTGTTGCCGTTGTTGGGACACACGCAGGAGCAGGGGTCACGGGTGCTGCGCTGAGTTCCTGGCGAGCAAGGCTGGGTGCAGTTTCTCCACAGAGCTCTTCTGGTCACGTATTCACTCACCGCTTGCCTCAGGCTCTCCCTCCTGGGATCCTCCTTGGCCACCAAAGTATGGATTGGTGCCAAGGAGTAGGAGACCAGGCCGGGCATCGTTTTGAGGCCTTCAGCCCACTCTTGGAAGGCTTCCTTGCTCAAATCGTCAGAAAAAAGCAGGTCCGCGTGACTGTTCCCGCCCACAATCTCGGTATGCCGCTCGGTGTACATCTGGTGGAAACTGCCCTTGAAACTCTGCTTG